ATTGTGATAGAGGGACACAGGTGAGATGCGCGAATCTTCCACAAAACAGTATACCAATAAGTTAGTAAAAAAAAGAAGAAGAAAGTAACCGATTAAAATTATTTAATACAATAAAAATTGTGCAATTTGGAAATCTTTGAAAATGACAGAGATCGATTTGGTACAAAGTTCTTCTCGAATTACCATCCGTTTTCCTGTCATCAGCATGATCAGGGGAGAAAGCTACGCGGTTAGATTTTATTCTCATTCAAGTTCAATCTGTTCCATCTCGGAGAAGTGGTGATTCGAGCGATAATCTTAAATTTTGCAAGCATCGACTCGTGTACGCGCTGCTGCCCGTCCGTTCTTTCTTCAATTTCCCAGGTCCGCGAAATTGAAATTGGAATCTGAAATTTAAATGCACCGCCCCGCGACGCGGGCGGGGAGTGATATTCGACGATCGTCGAGGAAGGTTAAAGGAAATAAAAGGAAAACTGTTGGGATCGCTCCAATAAGCAACAGCAAGATAATTGCTTCGCTGGCGAGTAAAGACGTCCCGGTTTCCGTTATTGGAATTCTTTTTTTTTTCTTCCCTCCCTTTTTTATTTTACTCTTTCTTCTTCTTCTTCTTCTTCCTTCTTCGTTGTTCTCGATATCGGTGATAATGGAATTGCCACGTTACGAAAGAACTAGGTCCCCTCGAGTAGCTCTTACCGAATTATTTCGCGCGATAGAAAGAAGTATTTAACAATTGTTCATTTTCTCTCTACCTGTTCTGTCCTTAGATGCTCATAAATTTAGACACTTGTCGTCTTCACGCCGAGTTCTCTGTCTTGCTACGTAAATGAACCCCTTGGTGACCGAATTATATTTTTTAAGAATTTCTTATTTACCCACCGATTAAGTTGAGATCAATTTTTGTTCGAGTACTCAAGTGGCCACGAAAGGGTTAACAACGGGCACATATTCTTGGAAACTCAGGACCAAATTTTTATCTGACATCTCATGTTGCGTAGAAATGTTCGTGAGATCACTTTTACCCTTTCCTTGAAGATCACAGAGGCCACAGTTGTAGCTCTAAGTCTTGAATAAAGGTGACTTGCGATAGCACCCAATCAAGGTTTATATTTTAGTTCATTTAAAAGATAGTTCTACCCACACAGAACCAATAAAAGTTTGGAGCTTGCAGAGACAATTCTCACGAGTCTCGCAGAACAACTTTCAGCTGAGGACAACCGAGTCAATCTCTCCAGAACGTACACCTTGTATCATAGTTTAAATACACACAACGGTATTCCAAGTAACTAAAATTCCTTAACCGTATTCCTCCTTCGAAATTCTCCTGCGCCGTTAATTTGGCGTAATAATATACGTCCAAGAGTATTTATTACCCACGTGAGTTTCTCCTAACAATTTTGAACGCGTGGACAATATATTACCGTTCACGTTTGTTTCATATTTAAAAATTATTTGCGTTGTTTTTGTAACTATCTCAAAATTTTAATACGTAAAGGCGAGTAATTCTGTTGTGTGTTGTATGAGAAAACTGCCTTTTCAAACTGCGCAGTTTTCTATGGGTTTTTAAACTTTTAGTTACATACTTTATAGTTACAGTATGATTAACAAGGGAAAATTCCGAAGTGATAATCACAGATTTTCATGAAATTTGCGTATGATGTAGTTCTAAAAGAAATATTCGACACGTATTTTCTTTTATCCACCATGGTTCACGTTGAGATGGTGAAAACATCCCTCAAAGTTACGGTGTCTAGATCTATTTGGTCGAATATCTCCACGAACTTAAAGATAGAGCTTTTATTACTTTTCAAGCAATTGCACTCTTACTGATTCAGAACAACAGAAGGCTGGTCATCCAATAATTTTTCAATATTCTGCAATTAAATATTTAAAACTGATTTAAAAGTCTGTTGATATTGCAATGTTTAAGAGTTTTCGATTGTTTTGTTATTTATGAGTATTTAGAAACCTTCGATTTTCTTTAGTATCTTCGATGGAATTCTCTTGTCCATTAAGAAGATACAATACTGTATAGAATTGAACAACATAGAACATTTTATTTCAAGTACAAGTAAGGCTGATAATGTTGATCGTTATGGAAATGCTCCTTTGCTCTCTGCAGAGATTTCCTCTTAATTAAGAATAAGAGAAAGTGCTTTCGGTATTAAGAAAATCCTCTTAGAATTCCCTATCTACTATCTTTCAAGTTGCCTCTATCTTATTAAATTTATTCTCATTAAATAAGTTTTATTTTTGCACGGTGTTACCGAGAGCTAGCTTCGAAACATTATTAACTTAAACGAGCTTAATTTTTTTTTTTAATTTTACGTTATTTATCAACGATTAGAAGAATTCTATTGGTGTACAAGTGCCTGAAATGATATTATTTACATATTTTGCATGCTAGAAACATTGTAGTTTGAAAAAGTAAATTTTGTAATATTGTCTTTTCAAATATATCATCAAGCAGAAATTGTCTTTTTCTTTTTAAATTCGCGACTTAGCAATTAGAATTTCTTTAACGAATTCAACTTATAAGTCATAATACCAGTTGTTCCTGTGTTGTCAGAAAGTAATTCCAAAATATTCCGCGTTTTAAACCAGCATATAATATTATCAAACGATTTTTCTTTCCTCGCAAACTCGCAAATTTCCACAAATCAACTTTCTCTTGTCACGCGACTACAATACCTAGTCTAGACGTGAAAAATTCTTAGCCACGTTCTCAGCTGCAATTAGCTGTCATCAAGTCTCCGGAAGTCGCGAATGAATCCCTCTTACGAGACATTCTTTCGTCGCGGAAATTACGAAATTGCTCTTCCCGACTCGAAACGTCCTTCCCCTGTCGTCGTCGACGTCGACGACGTTGTATGCACAGGATAATTTGTATCCTCGTATTCCCGGCACTCATTGAAACGAATTCCCCGGAATTCGTCTGACGTTACATTAAACCTCACTGGAAAGTTCGGTTGTTGCTGGCGCGGCAGTTTTCTCCGGATCTTAATTACTATTATACTTTTACGGTCGCATCAAGTATTCTTTCTTATTTCTTACAGAGACTTCCAGACTGGCATGAAGTGCATCCAGACGTACACGTTCGACTGCATGCAGGAGAAACAAAGGGAGCACTTCAACTTATTGTACGCGGGCACCAACCAGGTGGTCATGGAGCTGTGTCAAGATGGCCCTTATCAGGACGGTAAGTTGAATAACTACGTTGTTGCCGTTACGCTGCGCGATGCAATTAGAGGGCGGCTAGTCGTCTCAATGCCTTTGAAAAAGACATCGAATATGTAGTTGTAGTAATAATTTTCGATGTTTCCTTTTCGGGTTCGCAATCCTCTCCTTTCCTTTCCCTATCACTTACAATCTCTTGTTCGTATTACCGAATACTTAATTACCTACTACCCTTTTCTTAGAAGGCGGCTTGTCGTCTCAATGTCCGTGAAAATGTAGTAGTAGTAATAATTTTCATTGTTTCCTTTTGGGATTTACAATCCTGTCCTTTCCTTTCTCTATATTTTGCTCTATTTCTTACAATCTCTTGTCCTTATTACCTAATACCTAATTTTTTACTATCTTTCATTCATATATTTTCCTTCTTTCTTTTCTTCACATCGTTTCGCCTTCTTTCCTCTTTCCTTTTTTCCCTTTTTTTCCTTCTTTTTTAAAGGAAGAATAAAATTATTCCTAAATTTCCAAAAGCTTCTTTTTTCCCCCTTCGGTTGTAATAATAGATGTTAAACTAAATTCTGGTAAAATTGAATTATACACCTTTAGATGACCAAACAGTCGAAATAAATGCTGATATAAAATTGGATCCCCTTCTCCTAATTTTTTTTTTTTTAAATATTAGCCTATGCCGCAGTGGAAATTTATAATTAAACAAAGATAGTGAAAGTTACGTAGCTTCAGGTTGATTGTGATATTAGTTAGGATCTTATTTTCAGAGGTTTTGTAATAAATTCCAGAGATTAATCGAATTTCTTTTATTATGCCATAAAAAGAGTCTATTGAGATTGAATTTTATATCAAACTATAAATTCTAAAATGTATTTTGAAATTAGCTTAGGCGAAAGTAACGTTTTTCTATTTATTTCGATTTATTTTTTCACATGAATATTTCCTGATTTTCACGCGGTTTTCTCTTTGTGCTAATAATCTCACAATTGCTGTTAATTTATTAGTACGAGCGCGTTTGAATGGTAGAAGCAATTATAGTCGCTTATCCGAGGAATAAATTAACAAGACCCTTCAAGTGGAGGTATTTCTCAAATTGGGCTTTCGTACGTGTAATTTAGCTCACGTTTCTTTGCTTAGGAAACAGTAACGCTTTTGATTACTCCAAAGCTATTAACTAATTATTCGTAGTTGTGATGTTGGAAGCGATGTTCGATTCGTTGTATGTGTTGGTTTGCTCCTCTATTCTCAAGCAATTAACGATATCTCCATATTGGCTTCTGTTTGTTTAGTTCCTTATTTTACCACGACAATTATTGCTTTATTAAAAGAAAAAATTGAAATCCAAATATACAAATAATATTTCGAACTTAACTATATTTAAAGTATTAATATATAATCGAAGGATCTACCTTTGAATTTTAAACAATTTTTATTAATTTGCAGTAGTCACAAATACACCGCAAAAATTATACACGTTATTTTATAGAAATTTAAAAAAAAGAAAAATGATAATTTATCTTCCGTTTCTCTTGAAAATTCAAAACATTCTCTTCAATTGTTCGAATTTTATTTAACCACAGAAAGAGAACAGCTTTTCATGGAGAGAACAATTAGAATAAAAATTCCTGCAGGCAAAATCCATTTACAATTACCGATTCCTTTTCTGTCTCTCTCTCTCTCTCTCTCTCTCTTCCGTGCAAAATATTCCACGAGGTGGAAAAAAGAAAATATGAACTACATAAACTTGAATATCTGCCGAATACAGAAATTTTATGCTCAAGTAAAGAACGCGTTAACGAGTCACTGGCACGAAACTGTTCTTTCTATCACATTTATTCATTTGCTCAGTTCATCGGTTGATTTACATTCTCGACTGAATGTCGTTCTTTGAGCCCGGCCGTCGTCGTTCGTTATCGAATCAAGCTCTTTTCACAACGGCGTGTCGTTCTTAATCCGGAATTTTCAGCTTGTGTATAACCCGGACCCTGAAATGTCCATGAATCCATTCAAATCTAGACAGGGCAACAATCCCGATATTCCCCTAATCTCGAGAGTGCAGAATGCGTTATTGAGGCAAGTATCTCATGGTTCACCTCTGCTCCTTATCCCATCGATATCTCGAAATCTGTTGAACGGTCTTCGAAGATCGAGGGAATGCTTGCATGGAGAATGTCCTGGAATTACAAATCGATATTTAGCAACTAATGGAATGTTCTGGAAGAAATTAATTAAATATATTAGTTTTATAGATATAAATTGCGTTCCTTTTTTTTAAATAAAATATGTGTATTATTTACATAAGATATTTAAATTTCTAAATTTGTTGACATAAAGTTTACATTTCCATATTTTCTTGGCACTATTTCTGAAAATGTGAATAAAAGTAATTACAATAGATCTGTTTTTAATTAAATATTAATTGATTTTATATATAGTCATTCAGATTGTTTCTTTGTTTAACCCTTTCGCTACGAAGACTGTATATATACGTTCATCCAATATACATATGCAATTTGCTAAATTATTTTCGCTCCTCACAAATTTCGATTATCATGAAACAGTTGATTTTCAATCATACCTAATTTATTTTTATGCCAACGTCGAAAAATACCTGTTTTGTCCAGTATACAGCACTTTTTATCTCAAACGTGCCGCAGCGAAAGGGTTGCAGCTTCACGAATAAACAAATCGTGCAAATTAATAAAAAAACGAGGCACGTAAGCGACGAATACAAAATTTACCGTAATAAATATTGTTAACAGTAAAAAATTTCACCCATCGAACTACGAAATTTCAAAACTTTCATTTCGATACTGTACAATTTTTTACCCAGAAATTTCTTCCGGTTAACAATTCAACATTCCGTCCACCCTCGCTGTTAATACCATCGTAAATATATAATATATTCACAGGAGCGCGTAATAGCTGTTCGATTTTACGTTCGGCCGGCTAACGCGTTCGTCATGCTAGGAGAAATTGCTTATCGTTCTTGAATGCCACGGGCGAATACATTGTCGATATTCGTGTAATCTCGAGAGTGCCGAATACATTATTGACTCTAATGGCCAATGGATTTGGACCGCGTGCAGATTATGCACGGCTTCGTAGACGTATCGTGAAACTCGCCGTGCAATAATCACAGAATGCGTCTTCCGTGAGATTTCAATTTGACGGAGGTACGAAGTTACGACGATTCTCCAAACATCGCCGTCCCTCTTTTCTACTTACCTGCTCTCAATTTTACGCAAATTCTCCCCGCACACATTTCACCCAAGAATTTTCCCAAGCTTTCTCGGTTCTCCTTCCTCGATTTTCCGCTGTTTCAAGTTTCGCGGACGGCACTTGGCATCGTGCGGGACTACATAATGCATCTTTGCCCGTGACGTTCATTTATTTGCTCAATTACACTGAGATTTGTCTGAATCCAGCCGGCATTACCGGGACGTGTACTCTGTTTAAGGCTCGTTCTGCTGTGTTGGTCACGTTACGCAGTTCCCAGATTTTCGTTCTAACGTTAATCGATTTTCTAAGCAGTTGTTCCAGTGTTCAAACGGGAAGTAAAGTGGATTATCTCGGTCGTTCTAGTTGAGCGAGATTAGAAGGTGTTAACATTTTTCCGGAGTATCGTGATTGTTAGGTTGAAAGTTTGTTTGCAATTTCGAACGGAGATAAAAATGTTGTATTTTTTAGTAGGGAAATGTTAGTTTCGGTACATTCGACGTTATATGCTTATCCTTTTCCCAGCGTGATTTATTTCGAGTATTCTAATTTTTATAAAAATTTTACCGTTTTTTTTTTTGTACTTGTGTGTCAGCAGCTG